TACAGTTTTATGTGCTGAACTGATTCAATTTCTAATTGAGGAAACAATACATTTTCTCTATTGCTAAAACTATACATAAAGCAGAGACATATAAAGCATATAGTCAGTAAGTTGCTGAAACAAATGTATTCATCCACAATATAAATATGATATATAGATCTATTGACTCTCTTGGCTGCAATGATGGGTATTGAAAAATGACAAAAATTGTGATTTCGCATATGCTTCTTATTTTAATAGAAACTTCATATAAATCCAGTTTTTATAGCATTGAACAAATTAAATTTTACACATAAAAAGCACAAAAATTGTAAAATACTTTGCATAAATTATCTCTGGATACAATATTTATAAATCATTGAAATTAAGTTTGAAGTATTCCAAAGGGCTTATTCGTAAAGATATATATATATGTATATCTTTTCGTGGATATCAGATAACTATGCTATTATACATGATTAACAATATCCATCCTAAAATGTTTTATTTCAATGTCTTTGTAGAATATGCTGCACTTGATTTTTGCAATGGATTCAAGAGGTGCAAATTTAAATACTTATATAGAGTCTAATGAACCTTTCGCATTCTCACATTAATGTCATGTCATCATACGCCTAGGCGGAAAACTTAAAGATATCAAACATATTGTCAGCCAAAAAGAAATCAAGACAGGAAACTTAACTGTCATATACACATGTAGGTCTGCTTTAGTAATTAGTACAGTACCGATATTCCGATACATTTACAGTACAACCTGGCTCCGCCCTCACTAACGGCCGTGCCGTAAAACATATTAGATTGCATATTTTGGTAAATCTAAGTAAATCAAATGTAAATGGAATCAGGGACAGTATATGATAAGACTTTATATTTATCATCAACATTAATTACAAGCACTTGCCAAGCAAGCGTTTACATGTCTCAGATTGATATAGTTTAGCAAGCGTCTGTTTGACGTTGATGTTCCCGGGGGAAAGTCGGTTTCCGACCTCTGTTCCATCTAAACAAGTTGTGGTTCGTGACTTTCAGCTGGGATAGGTATTTAGTTTTGTGTGGTATTCTTGTAAGTTGTGAAAGGCTGAATAAGAAACTTTTTTGGTTTGGCTTGTGTATATGTGTTTAATAACCTGAAGCGGAAACTAGAGCTATTTAAAAAACAATCCCTGCAATCTAGCACTTTCGTTTTAACTGTTCGTCTGATGGAAACACTTGTATTGACATTTACATTTTGATTCGTTCCTGTTCGTTACGTTGGAGCTATGAGTTCTAGACGGAACACAAATGTTTCTTTACCCAAAGGAAAGAAATATCATTTTAATGTAATATATAACAATGCGAAATCAAAACTGTCAACGACACCAGATACAGAGTTGTCTCTGAAGGTCACAGAGTACTTCATTGGACAAGCTAAGGGATGGGGTTATGACCACTCGTATTACGTCGAAAGGGACGCTCTTCCCGGACAGAATATATTCACAGAGCTGTTTCATGTCATTGATTCGTCCATGTACACCATTGTCATTTTGACACACGGTTTTTTATCAAATTGTTGGGCCAAATATTGCCAGCTGTCTGCTTTCAAATCTTTACTAGACTCCACTGGGAGTGACCCTATAAGTATCAGCAGATTGATTCCTGTGTTGGTCGGTGTACGTGATACAGAGCTGTTACAAAACTTGAGTTTGAATAGATATGTATCATTTACAATAACTGACTGGAGAACAGACAAAAAGGAATGGGACAAAGTACGACAGATGATGCAGGATGTAACGCTTATTCCTGGACAAGTAACCCACCATCCAATTCAAGGTATGAATTTTACATGCATGCTAATGATTTATATCCAACATTGTGACAAGACAGTGTAGAAAGTACAAGGAACTTAATTTTAATTGACTTGAATTGTAACCAGCTGAGCTACTTTTGTCATGGATGATTAACCTACAATTTACATTGTACACTGTAGTTAACTTCAGCTGGTTATCAGTTCTACCATTTAGATGGTCCATTTTTATTTTGCAGATCCTAGATTCAAATACAAGTCTATTTATTTTTCGTAAAAATTCACTCGCCTGTCAGCGAAGAAACACTGATCAGGCCCCGGATTAGCAGATAAGTGCATTTGCTGGCCGGGTCTATACTCATGTTGTTGTAGAGAACCGACATCGATGGATGTCAGTGTTTTTCAAACTTAAAATTTGTCATACACAACGAAACTGGACAAAAAATATCACCCTAAAATATAGTGTTGTTCCGATTAATCAATTTAGTCGACGTCTGGTTGATCAGTCATTCTTTGATTTTGGTTAGGGAGGGGCCACAGTGGCCAGGTGGTTAAGGCATCTGACATTCTGCTACCACTAGCCCTCCACCACTGGGTCCCGGGTTCGAGACCTATGTGGGGCAGTCCCCAGGTACTGGTCGCAGGTCGGTGGGTTTCTCCGGAAACTTCGGCTTTCCTCCACCAACAAAACTTGGCACGTCCTTAAATGACCATAGCTGTAAATAGGGTGTAAAACAAAAACAAACCAAACCAAATCTTTGATTTTGGTATATTGTATTTTTCAACTCTTTCACCCCTAGCTATGTAACTTAATTAAGTATACTCTATAGCTACCATGCATTGATATGGATGAGTCCATTATAGTCTACATTGGTGAAAGCGTTAAATATACTTGATTTAAAATTCAATTTACAGAAACTGGAACTCCTGGTACCAGAATAACTCATATTGCCCAGGCAGAGGACACACCATCCCTGAGCCAGTTTAACAGACCACCGCCTGAAACCGATGGACCAAGGCCTTCTAATGGTATGCCGGCTGCTGGTAGTTTTGGGTGTCATGCACTCTAAAATGCATTATCGATCATCAGCTTTAAATGATAGATAATCGATCACTGAAAAGGAAATGAGTAGCATGCATTCACAAAAATTGATAAATGCATTTTTTATTAAATGCCAAACTATTTGCAAAAAAGTTATTTACCCTATTTAGCCTGTAATAAGCCCAAGGGGCAAAAACATAATCTCCTGACTGAAGAAGGGGGATTAGCTTACCACAGGACAATGAAAAACCTTCTGTTGGCATTTCTTCTTACTGCAATATATATTGGTGGGCTTATTATTATTGGACTTTTTGGTGGATAAATATGGGGAAATAATTTCTTCTCCATATCAAAGAACTGTTAAAAGTTTTCACGTCATTCAACTCACTCATAGTCAAACTATAGCTATAATCAACTATAGAATGTCTTGATTGTTTAGACATTGCGGGAGCTGGGGGTAAAATCTAGACATTGATTAAACTCATTAATCGGACAACACTTGGCCCTGCAGGTAGGGCGTCAGAATTGTACCTGCTGCCCCCAATTGCATGATCGTAAGAGGCGACTAAATTTGGGACCTTATCTCTTCTCTCCTTTCTAAATAACTTTCTTTTTCCTAATGTCTCCCTTGACAATGCCTCACTTTTGGCCATTTGTTGAGCGTTCGCCCCTGTGAGGAAGGCTTTGGGTTCTGTCCCCTGGCCGAGACATACCAAAGTCTTTAAAAATGGTAGTTTATACTCCTGCTTAACGCTCAGCAAATTAGGAGTGGGACGACTGGTTCACCCGTTGTCAGTATAATGTGACCGGGAGGGGCGTCCTGCTGGGTGTCTTCGGCAGTATGTTTCAGTGAGGTAGCACCGTAAATCCGGCATCAGTTCCGCTTTCACAAGGAGACAAACACGAACATATCGCAGCCTCCCAAAAAACACACACATACACTACACGCATGCATCTTGCACACAGGGGAGGCCGTCCTTAAATGACCTTAGCTGTTAATAGGACGTTAAACAAAATCAAACAAACAAACAAACAAACGGACAACACTAGTTGTTTATGATATAAGATTTTATATATAAACATGATAGAACAACGGTATATTTTCCCCCAGCATTCAGTCCCAGGACTAGGAGTCTAAGGACTTACCATGATTTTATAGTTTCATGGTTTAAAATATTTCCCTGTAATATCAGTGTGTATGGAAACATTATATTTTCTAAATTAAGATAACTTTGATATTAAAGTTTAGAAATAAAAAATAAAAAAAAAATGTTAACTGAACAGATTCAAACACATTATCAGATTATTTTGAATTAAGAATGAAGGTCAAGCTTTCAATTACAAATACAATCAGTGTTATTTTTTCTGAGGAAAAACAAATGTAGCTCAATTGTTTATCATTCAAAAGTTGCAAATGCCCAAATAAACATGTCATATGTTAGCATAAGTTATTTCTTCAAGTTTTAACTCAGAATCAGAAAAGAGAGTCCAGAAAACTTTTTTTTTTTAAATTGAGCAGATGTATTAGTTCAACCTTGAAATTGGAAACTCTTTCAGTAACTTTTTGCATTTTTACAAAGTGTGTAATACTTGAATGTATTATTATTCGCTCTATTTCCTCCAATTTGAAGATTAGATGTTAACAGAATAATGCAAACATATTTGCATTACAAAATATCATTTTAAATACAGATAAGCACCAAATAACGTTAACATACAAGACATATACACACTTAATTACATTGAAGGTATACATTCAATAAATATCATTAATAAGTATATGTATATATATATGATGTCAGAGGTAATACATACAAATGACAGATCTGAACTTTACAGCAAATTTTGGCTATATCGTGAATTTATTTCTTGGGTCCCCTGGAGTTCATTATAAATGACTTTACCTTTATTGAATTAGACCAATCAGAGTTTGTATGTAACACTGGCGAATATGCTAGTAAAATTTGTTTACTGGCCAAAATATCTGAACCATGGTGTAACTACAGCTGTATTGCTTTGTCTAATCACAAAGCTTAAATATGGTATTTTTAAACAAATTTTATGTTTTGCTGTTTTACTTTTAAAATGACATATTTTGTGGTAATATTTCCTCTTGAAAATATTCATTAATTATTTTAAGGGTAAGGCATATGTTATTTAGCTCAGCATCATAATCTGATTAAGTATGTAGGTAGATGGTTTTAGTCAGTTTCAACCCCTGATTATTTTTAGATAATGACATTTTAGGTGTACAAAAGTTGTACTTTATATTTGCAACTGAGACAGTAGGCATTTTTATTAGGATAACTTACATTTCATTGATTATGTTATTATTTTTTAAGGATTTTGAGAATTAAAAACCTACTCGAATATATTCAGTTTAAATTGGATTTATTAAAAGCATCATCAGCTGCTGCACGCGGTAGTAGAACACAGAGGGAAATATCTCAGAGACAAGATGGACAAAGGTCTGGTTACATTAATACTCAGCAGGTTGCTGTAGGTGGAGCCTCAACCAGGGTCACACCCTCAACCAACTCACCCCAGACAGGAAACTCAGCCGGGGTCACATCCTCGACCAGCTCACCCCAGACAGGAAACTCAGCCGGGGTCACAGCCTCGACCAGCTCACCCCAGACAGGAAACTCGGCCAGGGTCACAGCCTCGACCAGCTCACCCCAGACAGGAAACTCAGCCGGGGTCACAGCCTCGACCAGCTCACCCCAGACAGGAAACTCAGCCGGGGTCACAGCCGCGTCCAGCTCACCCCAGACAGGAAATGCAAGCAGCAAGGAACCAAACCAGTCTCAAGAACAAGACTTGCTCCGGAGGGAGATAAAATCAACTACACATGTTATACAAGTGCAAACAGAACAAAATACAAGTAAGTAACTGCACATGCAAACTTTTTTTGCGTTGTTCTAATTTTGCAGTTTTTTTGCAGAAACATTTATTTCTTCAAATAAAAACCTGCAAAATTAATACCAAAATAATCCATTCTTATCATAGCACATTATGTTATGGCCACAAGACATGCACTCGGCGTAAAATGGATTCCATGGAATTGGCATTTTTTTTTAGTGTGGAAGAGTTAGGGACTGCAAGAAAAGAAAAGAAAAAATAATTCATCTTTATAATATGTTGCATATGTTTATGGTAGTAGATAATCAAACACACTTGTTCAATATTGGGGATACCAGTTTTTAGCTCACCTGGTCCCAATAGGGGAAATATAGCAAATTCTTTAAAATCCTTCTTCTTCTGTAGGAATGAAAGGTTTTGTTCCATATTTTGTCATAAGCATCCTTGGGTGAAGGGGAACACATTTTGTATAAATGGTGGGTCTGTCCCCCCTTGGGGCTCAGGGGCAGGGCCCAATAGGGGAAATATAGTAAATTCTTTAAAATCCTTTTTCTGCTGTAGGAATTAAAGGATTTGTTCCATATTTTATCATAAGCATCCTTGGGTGAAGGGGAACACATTTTGTATAAATGGTGGGTCTGGCCCCCCTGGGGGCTCAGGGGCGGGGCCCCATAGGGGAAATATAGCAAATTCTTTAAATTCCTTCTTCTTCTGTGGGAATGAAAGGATTTGTTCCATAATTGGTCTGAAGCATCCTTGGGTGAAGGGGAACCAATTTTGTATAAATGGTGGGTCTGGCCCCCCTGGGGGCTCAGGGGCGGGGCCCAAGAGGTGAAATATAGCAAATTCTTTAAAATCCTTCTTCTGCTGTAGGAATGAAAGGATTTGTTCCATATTTGGTCTGAAGCATCCTTGGGTGAAGGGGAACCAATTTTGTATAAACAGTGGGTCTAGCCCTCCAGGGGCCTGAGGGGCGGGGCCAAATAGGGGAAACATAGCAAATTATTTCTTAAAATCCTTCTTCTTCTGTAGGAATGAAAGGATTTGGTCCATATTTGGTGTAGATCATCATTGGGTGAAGGGGAACCAATTTTGTATAAATGGTGGGTGTGGCCCCCCTGGAGGCTGGGGGGCGGGGCCCAACAGGGGAAATATAGCAAATTCTTTAAAATCCTTCTTCTTCTTTAGGAATGAAAGGATTTGTTCCATATTTAGTCTGAAGCATCCTTGGGTGAAGGGGAACACATTTTGGATAAACAGCGAGTGTGGCCCCCCTGGGGGCAGAAAGGATGGGCCCAATAGGGGAAACGTAGCAAATTCTTCAAAATCCTTTTACTTCTTTAGGAATGACAGGATTTTGTCCACATTCGGTATGAAGCATCCTTGGGTAAAGGGGAACCAATTTTGTATAAACAGTGTGTCTGACCCCCTGGAGACAGAGCGGCGGGGCCCAATAGGGGAAATAGAGGTAAAACCTTTAAAATCCCTCTTCGACCATTGGGATTTTATCCTTTTTCATGATCAGTCTGGAGCATCCTTGGGCCAAGGGGACTCAATTTTGTATAAACCGTGGGTATGACCCTCCTAGGGGCATAGAGGTGGGGCTCTGTTTGAAGTTTGTTCTCGCTATATCTCAAGTACTGGATGGTTCTTTTTGAGATTTCATATGTAATTACAGCACCTACCATGGAGTGCTATATCTTTACTTCATACCAATTATTTTTAACAAATTCAGGTGAGCGATACAGGCCCTCTGGGCCTCTTGTTTAATCAATCTTTTATCAAATATTCATCCTCCATGGTGACTTTTAACTTATTCATGTTTCTTTTTCTACAGATGGGTCTTTTGTTTATATTTAAAATCCTGTGACCTGTGGCTGTGGTTTTGATCCCTGTGTTAGGTATCATTTTATAATGAGCCCCAGGTCACTCTTGTTATTGGACAGAATCACTGGATTAACATAACCAATAGCCCTTTGATATTACCTCCTTGATCAGTACCGGTACATACCTTAGGACATACCAAAGTCTTTAAAAATGGTTGTTGTTATTCCCTGCTTAACGTTCAGCATATAGGGTAACGGCAACCACTGGTTCACCCGTAGTCAGTAGTCAGTACAATGTGACTGGGCAGAATACTGTGCTGGGTGCCTTCGGTATGGTATTTCAGTGAGATAGCACTATAAAGTCAGCATCAGATCCACGCTATCACAATGCAAGGATGCAATCACACCAACATACCCTGCCTCAAGCACACAAACTCATATACACGCTTATACAACACACATGGAGGAACGTCCTTAAATGACCTTAGCTGTTGATAGGATGTTAAACAACATAAAACCAAACCAGTACAAGGTGGTCATTAGGTCTTACAGCATTTCTGAACTTATGATTGCATTGCTTTTAGGGGATTTATGTACAATTGAAAAATATTTTCTCCCTAGGATTTAAAATGACTGTTTCCAAAAACCAAAGCAAAAATGATTTGAAAGATATTTAAAAATGAAGAGGACAAATTTTATTATAAATATTACATTTCAAATTGTCAGTGAAAAACAACCAATCTTTGAAAAATATTTAGCTTTTTCATGAATTTTGAAAAAATGCAATTTACATTAAAAAAAATGAGAGAAAAAACGAGTGAATCAGGATTTATTTAATTCATATTGTAGAGGCAACCTATTTGTTAGACCTCAAAATTTAAGATCTTTTTATTCAATCAAATAGACCTTGATAATATCTAGACAGCATTTGGATGAGATAATTATTGCATCAATGTCGGGTTTAGTGCTACAGTGTACACATAATTTGCACTTTAAATGAAACAAAAATAAATTTGAAGTTGGAGAGATTCTTTCTCTGTCGTACATTTTTGTCTTTCAGATCAGATGTTTAAAAAAATGATATTGTCGGAATTATTCAGTATTGTATGCATTTCTTTCATGCAATTTAAGTAAACAGTTCAGAGACTATTCAATTTCAAATCTTTCTCACAGTGATTTTGTTAAATGACAACTTGTAACTAAGTGGAGACAATACTGAACATTTCTATCTTTTTAACAAAACTTTTAAGTGGTTGATAATAACATGATCTGAAGCCAACGTCCAGTGTGGCCAGTTTCATCTTTTGGTAAAGCCGGTGATAAAAATAGCTACAATCGAAAAAGCGCAATACCCGGGCCTTTAAGTGAGAAGTAAACATGCAGAGTGTGAGTCTGATTTCATACGTAACACATTCTTGATGCTTTGAATTTACACAATACACAGCAAGCACGAATTAAAAGTATTATGCTAGAAATTCATCAATAGCCGCCACTAAAACGTATGGTTGTACAGTTTTTACAGAATTTCTTCATTACTGATTAAAAACCAAATGTCCCTTTAATGCAGATTTTTCTTACTAGGAGAAGGAGTCAATCATATGACAAACATTAAATGTTTAATAAAAAAAAAAAATGGGAACCCAGTCCTTCCACCAATCAGTAATAATAAAAATAAATAATTTGAGGTTCTTATATACCACTTTATCACAACCTTGTTCGTAGGTCGTCTCAATGCGGTTCACAAACTATTACTTGTGGTTATAGGGCCTTTGCAACCAGCCAATATCTTTCTCAACTCCTTTTGCCTTTATGTTTTAAAAGTTATTCTTCATACTCAAACATATTTATAATATTTTATTTTGAAGAAAAGTATTCCTCAGTATTAAACATGAATTAGTAATGCTCTCTGTCAACTTCAATAATCATTACAAAACTGAGAAAAAAATCATAATCCAATTTGGTTGGCCTATACACTTTATTTGACCAAATTTTGAGGTGATTCAGTGACAGGGAAAACATGATGTGTGGGGTCTAGGTTTCCCCTTGTTTATTGATTATATCAACTCATGGTCGTCAATCATCGTAATGGATGGCCTATTGAAACAATTTTGGATTAGAATGACATTTATTTTTTCCTTTTATTTACTTCTTAGCTTCATACTCCTCCCTACCAGCTCAGCAGTTTATAAGTAGCCCTCCGGGACCAACCATCACTATGCCAGTGGGGGCTAGTGCTGCTGTAAGGGAAAATGTTGGCCCGCAAATGAAAGAGGAAGGTATGTATACCAAATAATTTCGAAAATATACAAGATATTTACAGTTAGATAAATCTCTGACAGGAAGGTACTAAAATGTATTAAATTACACAGAAAGATGATTTGGTTCAGATGATCCAAATGCCTAAAGTTTTGGAAGACTTATGATCCCCTTTGTTTTACACCTTTTTTTTGTATATCACTTGAAGTTAAATTTGATGATGACTGAACGCTTTGAAACACATAGGAGAGGTATGAAATGACTTTGATGCAACATACATTGTCCCTGATAGCTGTAATTCCCAAGAAAAGTGTTATAATTTAATTTTAATTTTAAAGGGATGTTGCCCTTGAAAAAAAAGTTTGTTTGGTTACTTGTAGTCATATCTCATATTTAGGGGTATTTGATGGTTACTATACAAAAAATCGTTGTGTAAAAATGACAATTTCATGCAGTGTTGAATTTGTGATTTCATATATGTCCGTAGTGTTAGGTGATAAGATAATTCACCGTCATGTTAAATTCCTTCTACCATGTAATTCAATTGATAAAACCCTGACCACAAAATACTAAATAAAGACATAGTGACCATGAAAATTACTATGATAAAACTGACCACAAAATTAAACTGTCCACAAAAAATAACCTTAATATCACTGACCACAAAAACTGTTTCAATGCCACTGACCACAAAAAATACATTGACCACAGTAGTTACTACAAAGCCAGTATAATGCCACTATGACCACAAAAATCACAATACTTTACATTTATTTTGTTATTTCATTAAAAGTCAGCAAAATAGTACTATGACAATAGCACAGTGTACACAATCTGTTGTTTATCAGTGTTTCCTGTCTTTGCAGTTACCCGTTTAGAGAGTCAGAACCTCTCAAACGACATGCCAAGTGTGGGTCAGTCCAGAAGTTCAAAGGTTATTCCCCCTGGTGACATTTCTGGTAACCTTAGCCAGAATCCGCCAGGTTCTCCTGAGGAAACGGAACAGAAACAGCTAGCCAACACCGTTACAACAGGAGCAGATCAAAGTACCAGGAGCACTCCATTTTCGGACTCTGGAATTGGATCAACTGATACCACGCCCAGTCCCTCGTTGGACCCTTTTTCTGCTATGACATACCAGTTTGAAGAAACTTTATCTTCACCACAGGAAGAAATTTCAGCAGTACTCCAGGAAAAATCTCATTGTGGAACAACTTTTTCCAATCAGATGTCTGCTCCACCCAATACGCAAATTACAAAAACGGATGTAAGCCAAGATCATACAGGAACACCCACATCACTGTTGCCTGGCCACATGTCTGATTCTGAGGCTAGAACTAGTATCAGTTCCAGTAGGAATGAAGGTATGTCAGAAACTGGTAATACAACCACATCTGACAGGATATTGGACTCCATAGGAAGTATGCAGAACCAATCGGATTTGGATTTCGATCACGGAAGCCTTCCTTCAGGGGGTGGTCCTACAGCAGTTCTCAATGCAAAATCTCAAAGAGATCCGACTTCACCGAAGGGAGACCACTCCGATCAGACATCTGCCAGGGGAGATAACTCTGATGAATCAGCAAGAGAAAGTTTGTTGGAGCAAGCAGCTGAAGAATCTGTAGCCATGGTTTCTGAACACAACATTGAATTATTATTATCAAGTTCTATTCATCCTATTGAAGACAAGGACGATTTCACGTCAAACAGATATGAACAGTTGGTGTCGGACAAAGAGGAAACCATTCCACAGAAATTGTCAGAATTCGGCAAAAGTGAAGAGGTCTGTCGTAAAAGTGGTGTTCTGTCTGCTGAGGACTCACCGATACAAAGTGGTAGCATGCCTGAAGGTGGTACAGACCGGCAGAAGAATGGAGATAGCAAGTTACATGGTAGGTGAAATCTGATGATTCATATTTAACACAAATGTGTAAAATTCCACTATTGTCACTTTTACTAAATCAAGACAAAATTTACAAGCATGACTAGCTATAGATTGATCCACTATGAAAAATAGTTATTGCAGTATTTGTAATATGAAAGTTTTACACCACAGCTTGTTTGACGATTAAGGAATGACCAAGATTTTGTTTTGGTATGTACGGTGTATAAATCCGTTTGCAGATTTATGCAAAAAGTGCTCTCTTTTTTTCGGTATATACCGTATATACCAAAACAAAATCTTGGGCATTCTTAATAATTCATCACGTTGTAAATGCACAGCTAAAGATTTATTTAATTTTTACGTAAACTAGACAATTGCGCTAAAAAAAAGCTGCGTTAAATTATTTGGCCACAAATTTATTTGATGATGTTTATTATTACGTATGTAAGATAAAGTTAAGGTAAGAAATTCAGCTGAAAAGGTCAGATACAGATATTTTTATTCAAACTACCCCCACATTCAAAACTTAGCCACTAGAAAAGTTTTGCAAGTTATCGAAAGTCTCACTAGATAAATCAGAAACTGACAAAACCTTAAACACTTTTCATTGAATATAACAATGAACAAATGTAACCAAGAACAGTTACTCAAATTGAAATACAAACTGTCAATGATATTTACATAGCATTTTTAATGATTTCTTTCAGAAAACATTTTGGTGAATTGTATTGTATATTTTCTGAGAGGCAAAAAATCTACCTGCAAGAGTTTGCTAGTGAAGGAGATTTAAGCTGGCATTTTATTGAAAATTAGCATATACCTGGTATTTAATTAGTAGATATATATCATTGGTGTCAACCTTTGAAACCTCCAGTTAGGGAGATCTTCCTCATTCCACATTTCCATGGAGTGAGTGAAACACGACTGAAACTGCTTTGCTCAATTTATCTTTCGTTTGAAACTCCTAGTCTGACTCCCAAGTAGCTGTCAAATACAACAGTTGTATTGAACAACACAGGAAAACTAAATCTAATTGATTTGATATTCATATTTACATTTTCATAACATATTCATATCTTATTTTCATGGTTGTGCTTCAGCATGCTTGTTACGTAACATTTCAATGATTTGAAACTACAGATGGATCAATAAGTGTCATCTGTATATATTTATTACAGGAGCATCTGGGCCTTTGGTTAACAGTTTAACAAATGGCAAACAGAGAACAAGGCGGGCCTCCATGAGCGACCTAGCAAGACCTGTCATGCGCATTCTTGGAAACTGGATTTTGAAGCCAGCTCTCCATGTGTACAATGTAGCCGATCAACTCTACATTTAAAGGTAGCCGATCAACTCTACATTTAAATGTAGCCGATCAACTCTACATTTAAAGGTAGCCGATCAACTCTACATTTAAAGGTAGCCGATCAACTCTACATTTAAAGGTAGCCGATCAACTCTACATTTAAAGGTAGCCGATCAACTCTACATTTAAAGGTAGCCGATCAACTCTACATTTAAAGGTAGCCGATCAACTCTACATTTAAAGGTAGCCGATCAACTCTACATTTAAAGGTAGCCGATCAACTCTACATTTAAAGGTAGCCGATCAACTCTACATTTAAAGGTAGCCGATCAACTCTACATTTAAAGGTAGCCGATCAACTCTACATTTAAAGGTTTCACAGGTTTAAAGAAACAGATACACAACAACAACAAAAATTGTAACATCTTATAAAATTAGACAAATGTTAAATTTACACTTTTTTTATTTCGAATAGTATTTGAAAAGCAAATTAAGTGTCGACAAGAAAGAAATTGAAGACATCCAATAGAGATTGATGACGTTACGATAGCAAATGTTGTTACAGTTTCATAACAACATTTGCTGAACTAGCCAACATTTTACAGATACTTTCAGTCAACATTGAGAAGAATGTTTTGTTGTACAAAATCTAAAAATGGTTGTATTCAAACACTTGTTGTATATCTTTTAAAATGCTTTTGTGCCATATAAAAAAATATATATGAATAGATTTGTATGACAATTTTCAAATGGATGTTCAATGATATCATTTTATCAATAAACAAAAAGAAACATAAACAAGGGTCCAAACTTGATATGTTGGAATGCAAGCTTAGTTCTGCAAGTTGATTCCCCTCCTCTAAGAAATCCTTGTTTTGTCATTGCCACCAAGTTGGTGTAACTTAGGACATGTACAGCATCATATGCTTTGATTGCAGTTCTGGCAAACTTAGCATTTTCTATTGGATTTGGTACGATACATATAAGGGGTGGCCAATATTATTGCAGTACCAATATATATTGCAATATGATTTTGAAATGGTAATATATTACAGCATATGTTTTGAATTAATTGTTTTGGGGGTTTAAACAAAATAATGGAATAGTTTTACAGAAATAACATCAGATATTGAGTCAATCTTATAAAAAAAAGCAGCATGCTTCGTGTAAAACCTTCCAAAACTGTATAAAATAATTTTTCAATTTTTATTCCTGATCTGATGCTCACTTTTCGTATTTTCTACCAGCGTTTAAAATCATTATTAATGTACTAAACTTCTATGAGTACAATATATTCTGATACATTGCAATGTTTCCTGAAGTATTACAATATATTGTAATTTAAAAATTGCTTGCACTACCCACCTTTAATGGCAGTAGAACATTTGTATACTTTATACAGAGTTCAAAAAATGCATGAACGACTATGCCAATTAATAGTCATTTCATGCAAAGGTAAAAAGTCCATCCCAAGGTAATATAATTTGTATTTTCCTGTTAGTACCTTAGTTTCAATTTGTCAAAATGAACCTATAACTTTAATATTCAAAATGCTTTCTTATCAGATGTGTTTGTTTTATGTTGTCAAATCTTGCTATAGTACATATATTTAGGTAAGAAGTATTATGCCTTTTCTTGGACATCTTAAATTTTATAAATGAAGGTTTTGGCATTTCATTGCTTGAAATATTTTAACTGTACATGCATATTGTATGCCGATTTCCCACATTGAATTCATACTGTATCAGCAATCTTCACGAAAAAAATGATAATGATTGACAAATATTGAAAAAAAAAAAACATTCATAATTCTTTTACATGTACTACATTCTACATGTGGAAAAAATTAAACAGGAATTCTGTTTCAGTTGGCCCGGTGACAACCAGCTGCCCCTGTTTCAAACAAACCCTCTACAGTTAATCCCTAAGCTGTCACGTTAGCAATCTCTGTTGATAGAAGCTCTGTTCAGGAAACAAGCCATTCCACAATCAAGATATGTTACAACCAACTCCTTGCTATGAATTACGTGTCATGCTATGCAGGTTTGCTGACAAGACAGGTTACAGAAATATAAAATAGTGTCTGATTTTACTAGAAGTTAAAGATTATACAGATTTTGTATGAAATTCTCGGGTCTTATGCAATAGTAAACATGACTGATGATTTTTCCCTCCAGTTTGATAAGCATTACTTCTCATCAATAATACAAATGTGTAATTACAACTTAAGAACGTATCAGTATTTAGTGTCAGTAAGATGTCTGAAAGGTGTCTGAAGAGTATATAAACTATGTGGGTAGTATAAACATTCTGGATGAGATGTAACAAATGTGATTTGGGGGGAGGGAAGGGAGTGAAAATATTTTTCAATATGGTACATACCATCCCAGATTTAAAATCTGTAAATGAATGTTATTTTTAACATAGATTGTGCCTTTTCTTAGAATGTACTGTTATTGCTATGTGCCTGTTTAAATTTCTACATATTTACATATATGTTCCATGCACAGCATATTTATAACCATAGACATGTCTTAAAATATTTTTAAAGATAAGTTCGCTTAATACATTGTATGTGTTTTTTCCCCAAATTATTTTCCATGAGACATTTGTTGGATAGAAATGAGATTGGTGTAGCGCATGTAATTAAGAACTTGTAATATAGAATTGTACATTGTAGTCGATCTGCATGCAAAAAATAAGCAGATTATAGTTTTGTAAATTCCACAAACTTTGTAACTAGATAGTTGATAGTAGGTTTTTCCTATCAATGAAATAGAATTGACTTCAGCATGAAATGCAACAAGATTGTAAATACATTCACACCATGACATATATTCAGAGTATCAGTCCTAAATACTTCAGGGATTTAGTCTTAAATACAACAGGTAATTAGTCCTAAATTCATCAGGGAATTAGTCCTAAATAAACAGGAAGTTAGTCCTAAAAACATGACATCTAACAAACATTTCTACTGTGCCATAACAAATAGGAATCAATTAGGTGTTGATTGCTTTTAAGATAACCAAGGATTAATGTCTGGATGTAATAGCTCCCTCTAATTAGCTTAAGTCAACTTATCAAAATATCTCCAATAACTATGTATTATTTGTGAGATGTCCTCAAATACTCATTGGAGATTTCATGTTGAATATTTCCGATATGAACATCCAATTCAGATTAAATATTCATATCAGGTTGAATTATCGTGCTGCATTGAATATTCATGCCTGATTGATAATTCATTCCACATTGAAAATTCATGTCAGACTGAGCAGTTGATTCTTGGTGCAAAGAAACATGTTTATAATGAACTCAAAAGGACCTTAGATGTCAATTTTTTTATTATTAATACTTATAAAGAATTTTAGCATGCATGATACATTTCCTTATCACAGAGAAAAGATACATTCATTATAAGCATGTTTTCAAACTTCGTCATCACATAAAATGTTTTAATCAAGAAATTAGGAATCATTTGATTTTCATTGGGTTTAAGGTATCAATTCATTTAACATCATGTACAAGAGAGATAGACACAATAAAACCTCTTTATTCTGCCACGACGTAATGTCAAGCAATGTTTTGGCATTGTAAAGGGATTTGGCGAAACATGAAATTTGATATATGTTAAGAATTGTGAAGAACAAAGTTAAAGTGGACCCGAATTATTTTGGTGGTTAGGGAGGTGACAAATAAAGTGCAGAACTCTATGTTTAGTATTTTATTCTGAGGTTTTATTGTTTATGTAAATAATAAAAATTATAAGGAGTTGTTAAAGGATAATTATTTATGGTAATTTGTAGATTTATTAAGGTAAAATATTATTGGAGATTTTGTCAATGCTGTCACGGTTGTAAGTGTCTGTTGAACTATTATTTGCTATAACGTAGGAATGTACATAAATGAGAAGTGCCATTCTGGGAAGTAATAAAATGATGTGCTATCAGACTTTATGGTCTGTTGTTCTAATTGTCTTCTGTAGTTGGGTTTTCTGATGATGGAATCATCGAAAAAGTCATGTATTCTAATAAAATGTTTCTGTTAAATTTAATGTGATTATATAATAATGTTAGTTAGTTATGAATGATTATTTTGTATCAATTGTTTTTATGTTGCAATTAATATATTTTAATATATCAGTAGTTACACAATGACTTGTCAAATGTACCTTACGTTTTGCGGAACAAAATTTGGCTCTTCACTGATGCTTTGAAAACAAACCAAGGAAATTAAAACTTTCACAGAATGTATATTTCAGGTACTGTTTTTAGTATTATGATTTCTTCCAATCAAAATAAGCAGATAAATATTTTTCGATTTTGATAACTTATTTACAGTTTTTTTTTATATGGATTTGTCTTAAAACATATCTTAAAATGTGCAATCGTGTAAGCTACTTATTTTGTCATTTTTTTTTTGACAAAAAACTTTGTAAATCTCCCCTAGATTTTTTTTTTTTTTTTTTTTTTTTACCGTTATTGGAATTTGTACATTTATTGGTTTTGAAAGTTAAGAAGCACAACATAAGAATACTTCTTGACCTGATGTTATAAGTGATATGCCAAAAAATTGTATTTTTCAGTCTTCAAGTGTATTTTAACTGTTGGAGATGTCCGGGCTTAATCACAAAATCTAAGATTTCATAAAAAGAAAAAAATAACAGTGCACCCAACAGTGTCTCCAGAATCCTATTCATATCATTTCAGAAAAGAGAAGAAAATAGTGATCTAGTACTGTAAAGTTAGACATTTTTGCAGTGTGGAAATGTTCGTGTTTTTTGGATTGATTAAATCCGAGCGAAAATATCCACACGCAAATATATATTTCAAGATTATAGATATCCTGGTATATACTATATATAATAGAATACAAAGATAGCTGAACCAAAACACTTCCATGCTGCAATCTGTTTAACTCATTCACCCATGAAGACACATTTGAACTCTTCCAATTCAAATGTTGGAATAGTTTATTATGAAATTTGAGGGGTGAATGAGTTAAAGATTAAAAACAAGAAATTTCTATGCACAAATATTTTCACTTTTACAATGAATTAGTGCGAGAACATCAAAATGGGATATATAAAGATATATAAATGTTAACCATGGTCTATGTTATTTGTAAGCAAATGACCTTCACATATCAGGGTAAATATTAGTACCCTTTTTGAAATAGGGGAAAATATGCATTGTAGATGCATGACCCTTTAGCGAGGGCTGCAGGCCAGAGCCAGAGGGAGAGTGCAAGAGGGGCATGGTTACATCTTTAATTTTGTTTCTCGCTGTTCATTATAGATGTAAAATATCAGCAGTGACAATTAACAACAACACTGGGAAAATGAAATAAATGACTCAGATGTGGAACTAACAAACGGGAAATAATTACTACAAAATAAAACCGAGACAGATATTCATGTTTAATTACAAGTTACAAGTGGGAAATTTTAAACTGAAATAGAGCAAAATAAAGCTGAAATAGGGGGAAATAATGCCAAAATTGGAGAGGGGAACTGGCCCGTACTCGGCCATAATAAAGGCCTGTATATATCCATGCATATGTAAGAATAGATCATAGGTCAGGATCTTTTTCAAGTGTTGAAGTGTATTTACAATAGGTACAGTACTTTGATGAATTGTTTATTGTTGTAACTGCTGTTAATTTGTTTTTCTTTGCAAAGTTATAATCTACACAAATGCAAGGGTGTGACAATTAGCATAAGAAAAGGCCTGTAAAGTATGTAAGCTTTTATGATCATTTTATAATAATCTTATAATGATATTGTTACAATATGTTTTATGAATCAGTATATCTGTGTAACGCTAACAGGAAAGAGAGTAGTATGCTTTCACCGGGGATCGAACCCACGATCCCACGAACCCACGATCCCACGAACCCACGATCCCAGACTTCCTAGTCGGATGCTCTACTACTTTGCGAAAGGGAAATTTCCTCTAGCGTGAAGCTAGAAGATGACTGTAATCCTATGTACAATTAAAATATGCCGCACCACTTCCCCTTTAAAATATGTTTACCCTCAAACACAACAACAACCCAGGTGCTAACTTTCTTTCACTACAGGGAGGGCCACAGACACTGTTTGTAACAGGAAAAAGAGTAGTGTGTTTCCACAGGGTATGGAACCCAAGATCCCTAGTCTTTAGCTGATGCCTCTACAATACATTTTATAGACGGATGCCTATATCTAGCCAACTTAAATTATTCTTCTAAAATAATTATTTATTATTACCTTTTTTTTCCATAGTTTTTATCTACACTGATAATTTTAATTGTAATCATGTAATAATAAATACTACAAATACTATGGTCACACAGTTGTCATTTGATAGATTTGTTAAGTTTATCGCTCGTTTAATTCAAGGTGAAATATTAATATATAGAAAAACCGTCTAAACAGTTTCGAAGTTTTTACTAATTTAAAAAAGTAATGAATTTCTGCTAAAATATGACATTATTTTCTACAAATAGACTTATTATTTTGTTAACGTTATTTAGGATAGCAAGATACCGCATAATAAAATAGCAAGAATTGATTTTTTTCGTATGAATGTACCTTTTAGTCAGATATTTTACTGAAGTAATTGATGGGATTAAAACTAAACTCATTGTTTAATTTGATAATTCAAGTAAAATGTTTTGGCCATGTCTGCCTTAATGGAATGTTGATGTCGTAACTTTTTAGAATAGTTTAGATATTTTTCTAGTCTTTTGTTTCACCACTTTTTGGAAAATTGGTTGTTAATTTTATTATGTTTCAAAAATGATAGTTCTGATGATGTACTTAACTTGTATGATATATTATAAGAAAGATTAAATGTTTATGTATAGTAGGTATATAAAAAAAATATCTAACGACGAAGTAGCAAAATAAGCTGCTTTCACCCTTCACATGGCTCTTCTGGTTTGTTTCTGAAGAGCACTTTGAAGGGTGAAAACAGCTTGTTTTTCTAGACGGTGGTTAGATTTTATATGACCAGCACACGATTACCCTTCTTCTGGATATACTGTTTTCGACTCGGGTGTTTGTACATGTATTTATATTGTCTTCTTTTTTGTCTTGTGGTATCATCTTCATTTTTTTTTGTATCTTTGACTTACGATTTTGCCTGTATATCTACTGACGTTGTATTACAGTTTTTACGCTGTATTACGTTTTTTTTCCTAATTTTACCTAACTTTACTTTGACTTACATCTCTTTACCAAAATACTCAGTGTAATTATGAAGTAAGGAGGCACTTATTTAGAAAAATAATAATATGAAAGTCGATATGGAAACCTAAACAATGGAAACAGTTCAAAACTTAACAAGTTGATAACAGGATGGAAAGGTACCTGTAACAAAAAACCGTGTTGTGTTAATGCTCAAGTAAGTCTGAATTATTAAATTTGACAACTGATGAACTCTTGCGAAAATCGTAAGTGTCAAACTAGGCGATTGTATTATAGATTAATGTAATATTACCAAGATTGTACCTATCAATTAGAAACCTATTAATGCATGACAACATCTTTAATATATTATTTCTAAAAAGAAACGCATAGCTTGCAGAACTTTAATGACACAAAACAAAGACGTGTAAACAATATAAAATCCATAACAGTATTCTGAGGATTAAAATACATGCGCTGGGTCCGGGATCCGAACACTGAACCGCCAGTTATAATACGATCGCTCTATATACCTGAATGGCCCTATAGCTATCGTACTAGCTGTATCCAAACAAAATTAAGGGAGAGGTCACTCTTTGTTTGAAGAACTACAGTGAAATTCTCGAGTGATTTGCCAGTTATGGGACAGGGATCCTTAATAAGTGTTTGGTAGATCAATTGGTTATGAACGTGTGGAATCTTTGAAAGGCGAGGTACTGCACACTCTTCAGTTAAATGTCTTTTGTGACTCGTTACTCGAGGGCTATTTTTAAATGGACATGGATATGCCCTTTTGATGAACAGTGTTCACAATATATATAAGAGAAATTTGCAGGTTACTATCTTTGCCTGATCTTAAGGACCCCTGTTCCACTGCACTGTGGTTTTTCGAATAAACAGTGATTTCCCCTTAATTTCGTTTTGGATATAACTGTAGTACAGTGAGCCAGAACGCTTTTTTGAGCAGGTAGCGCAGTTGATTAGAGCTTCTTATGTTTCCTAGGTGTTTCTTAATCGTCTTGTAAGTTATGATTTTCATTTCATACAAAATTCATTAAAGCTACAGTCATGCCGGAAAAATATTCCAAAGGAAAGTTACATTTTTTCGACAGTACTGGTACGAGGATCCTTAAGCGTTAAGATTTTAAACCTGTTCACGGTGTCTTTATATTTTTGGTCCCTTCTGTACTTTCTCGGGTTAAAAGGATACATACGGTGCAGGAAAAGTCCATCTGTCCTGAGCACCAGTGTTTTAATGTCTCCTAAGTATGGTGCCTGAAATGCTGATGTTTCCAGGGAACCTGTTTTTACACTTCTGTTTTTTTGTTGGAGTACTTGATGTCTTTCAATTTGTTCTGAAGTCTCGTAAGTGCCTGCTGTATAATAATCATATTGACCTTGACTTCAGATACTTTACAATGTCGTTATATGGGTTACTGTAATATAGAAAACTTCTGCGTGTGGATTTTTCGTTTTCTTTTTCAACTATTTTCAATTTTTGTACATTCCTCGATGGTAATGCTGCAGCAAGATATACCATATGATGTCGATCTGTTCATATTTGGTAAACGCAAACATAAAAGTAAACAAAGAAGTAAATATATGTACTATATATATAAAACCACAATGCAAAAGTTTCCCTGTTGACAGTTTTTTTTTCAATATGTTTCTTTTGAAATACATGTATGCTTATTGTTACTGCTTCAATGATATATGAACTTGTCCATTAAAATATAACCAACGATAACCCATTTGTGTATTTTGTTATTGTACTTGATTTGTAAAACGCTGATGACTTCAGACCATGTTCTGGCTTCTGTTCGTCTTATAATGTTAGTGTACATGTACTTTTACAGCTTCAACCTTTCAAAAGAGTTTCAAATTAACAAACACGTAAAGTGAATTTAATGAAGAAATTCGAAAGACACACCACAATACGTACGTTATAACACTTGTTTAGTTCTTTATTATTTGGTCAGTTCTGTTTTATCAGAAAAACATTATATGATTTATTAGTTAAAGAAACTTACAAGAATAGGTGTTATGTACAAGATAGGTTTAAATTAACCTTAAAGTGGAATTTTGTATTTGTTTATTTAAAACCGGTTGTTTACAAAAGGAAAGGATTAGCTACATACATAAAAACGATAGTCATGCTCAATGTGAATATTAGGTATTTGCAAGAAAGAGCTTAACATCTGAGTAGACCAAACAGGAAAGATAGAATTCTTAAGATACCCGTGTTTATTATATTGACTCTGGAAAGACAGATGACAACCAGAAACAGACTGGCCAAGGGCAAGAAGGGGTAGCATCTCCGACTGCAGTCTTCTTGCGAGGACACTCATTATTCAGCTACAGACTCAGTTTCATATGAATTCCCTCAGAGTCTTCCGAGGAAGGGGGTGAGTGGGTGGGTGGGTGATGAAAGACTCATTAGGACAGAGAGAGAGTAAAGTCAAGAAACATTGTGACGTTACATTTAAAATATTGTTACACCGAATCAATATTACAGCCCACTGATCTCCACGTGATTATGATTCAACCAATGGGAATTTTGGTTTTGTCTAATATATTGGTAGTGTTCGAGATTTCTTAAGATCAAAGACATTGACATAACTGAAACTCGCTTATTCGCGGTAATGAGAAAATTACTGTAATTCGCTTATTCGCGGATTGGTCTAGTGGTTAATACTTCGACCTTCCACGCAGGCGGCCGGGTTCGTAGTCGTAGTACGCATAGAATATTCAGAGAAAGTGTTTTTCTCGTGTCCATGCAACTGCAACAACCCAGATGAAGTATACAATTGTCTGGGGTGGATGTTGCGGTATCTGTGCTGTAACATTCAAGTGGGGTGGCACTATAAATGATACCGTTGAAAGCATGGTCCCACAACAAACAGAACACAATACATCTCCAGCACACGCAGGCATGCACACATATGGAGATATCTGCCAGGTGGTATAGGACTAGTAGCTAGCGCCTGATAAGACAGCTCCTGTGAATTCCTCAAAATTGTATTGATTAATTAATATACTAATTGTAATGATTGTATGAGTTGTATATCCATGTACTGTAAAGCGCTTTAGAGTGGCTTATTCAAGCTAGATAGGGCGCTATATCAAATGTTGTATATTTATTTATTTTTGAAGATCTTCTTGCCCGGAATCTAATTTGTATTTTGTTCTGATATCCACAGCTACGTTGAAGCTTCTAAATAATAGTCACGGAAAGATCTTGCTTCCTGTCTCCTCCCTGTGTTCTCATCGTCAGTATCCGAGGTAATAGAATTTGCAAAGTACTCGTCCACTGCCTTCCAACCGGATGAAGAAGTCGGCAAGTTATATCAACTCTTAATGATAACAACACTTTCTCACAATTTATTATTTCACATCTCCTAGGTCCCTTGATACATTTTGTATTCCTATGTAATGTTGGATCTTTGGTATAAACCTTCACAACCTTCCAAACGAATATGTGAGATTTTGGGAAATGTCTGTTCAGTTCTGGGGCATATATTGAAGTACATGTGTCGATATATTGATGAAACTAATTAGCCCGCACTGCGTGGAATGCAGCTAGAAACGTCTATCGGTAACATGTTTGAATGGGCGAATTTTATTGCTGAAATACAAAAAAAAATACAGCTCGTACCCTATCGCACCTACTTATCCACTATAACCGAGCTGTTTATTACATGTTGCTAGCGACAAATTGCCCCTTATTTATTGGTTTTACTAGTCGTTGATGTATTAGCGCTATTCGACCGCACACTGTTTAAATGTACGTAAACAAATATGGCTAAACTATTTTATTTTTCCCTTAACGAGATTTAAGAAAATATTCGTCAAATTGCTCAAGAACACAAAAAGAAAGTATCGAATACGACAATTATGATTAATTTTTTGTTCTATGACCATTCCAAATTGGACTAAACTAATTATGGCTAAAATAAACACATATATCGAACTAAATATGACAATTATTATGGAGCGTTGTGGTGGCCAGCCGCACAAGATTCAACCACTTGACTTATCGTAAGTGTTTTGATAACTCTATAAACCTGTCATGTGTATTTACACACTTACTAGATTTAAAGGCAAATAAAAAAAATTGAAACAAATAAACACAATGTTTGTGACGTTTACTTTTTCTTATTGAGCGTACTTCCTGTTTAGCCGCTCACAAGTCAAGATGGAAAATAGTGTAATCGTGTTCTTATTCTGCTTGCTGTGGACATTTCCATATACAGGTAAATCAGAACAGTTTTTGCGATGCAACGATTTGAGTATAAGTTTTATGTTAATACCTGCAATTTATTTTTATTGTTAAACAAGCGCCTTAAAAGATGGTATGGTCACCGTTAAATTTCCACCCCATGATCAGTAATTTGAAAGATACTGGTATGTTGAGATATAAAAATTGAATATATTGAACTTGAAATTTTGTGTTGAATTGATACATAGCAGATTAAACTTATTCTTAAATCATGCATTAGGGGTAATCACTTTACAAAGATGAAAATAAAACACACACACACACACACACACACACACACACACACACAAACACACACACACACTCATCAAGTGATTGCACCTTTAAAATTTAATAACACATTATGCCCAAAAATGAATTACACTGCATCATACAGCTATTTCGTCCTTCTGGGAATCATTAGTGATACTAGGAACTTAAACGTTGAAAATCTAAATAGGACTAAACTTCTGTCTGTACACAGACAAGAGAGGTGCATCAAAACCCTAAATCTACGAATTTAAAAAAATAGAGGAATTTCGATAAAAAAAATGATAATAAACTTTATGACATGTCTCTGTCTTTTGTGAGCTTACTAAATGCTACCTAATGACAACTTATTTAGAGGTTAGTTACAATGTATATAGCTAGGTCATGTAGAGATTAATGTCCTTCTTACAAGCTGTTGAAAGGCATACCGGCTTTAAACAGGATGCTTTTAGCCAGTAAAAACAAAACAAATCGTTACAAAATGTCTCGGTATCGAATTTAAACAGTAAACTAAGTCTGACTTGGATATATAAGATCTTATATGAGTTTCCATTTCACACGAGATTTATGAAACAACTCAGCGAGCCTCTGATGACCTAAAATGAAAAATTCGTGATGAGTTACATAAATTTCATAGGAAAAGAAAACGAGTGTTAGATCCTTTATACCACATAATCAGGATTTATTGCATTTATTCGTGTAACACGACAAATTTCATGCAACCTTGAAATGTAAAAAGCCGCCATTTTGACTATTGTGCGTAGGCTGATATGTCATATAACATGGGTATATTCACTGGCTAACACTGTACAGTATGAGATAACAATAAATACTCTCCAGATAAGGTGTCATTTTATGTGATCAAAGGTTGGGTTCCAGCTAATGTTAAATTTCCAATTGAACCACCCACACCCGGATTTCTTTCAAACTTTGTATGTTTGTAGTACTATAAATAGCAATACAAAATATACACATAATTTTCATCTTTTAGATTAAAAAGGCCCGAAGGGCCCACATGTTCAGTGAACTGACCATAATTATTTCAAAACAAGCGTCAATGAAATGTTTTTGTACCACCTTTTTCATAAATTCTTATTTTGTTACGTTCCTGAAACAGTTTTTTTTTATTTTATTTTTTTATCAAATTTGTATTGGTATTTTGATACACAGATAGTTTAAGGTGAAAAATAGTGGATTTTTAACATTTTAAAAACCAAGCTATCGTCAAAAATATATAAACTTGGTATGATATAAGTTTTGTCCACCATTTTGATTTATTTAAAAATTAGCTTCAATATGTGTTTTAAATTAACAACTAACAGCAAGATAGATTTGTACACACATTTAATTAATATCCTACTGTACATACATATCAGAAAACATCAATAATCATGCACAAGTATAATTGTATACAGAAATACATCAAGTACATAAAAAACACATCATATTGGCATTTGGGGCGAACTCAGCATATAGACTTTTTATTGTTGATACTATTCTTCAACTCAGTTGGCAACTGGGATTTGTAGCTGTGGAGACAAAGTCCTGTTTTCTACAAATAGTGATTGCTTCTGTTGTTCAGATCTGCAGACTTTGCTGCAATACTGAGTTGAGTGCGAGTATAATATTCGTAGTAGTACAAACTTTGTTGTTACCAAGACTACTCCTATGTATACCTTGCTATACCAAACCGGATGAAGAATAGCATCTTACGTGTTATAATTAAATTTAAAATGTTACCTTTTGCGGACTGGCTGTAACTCTTTGGCTACATTGCTCCAGTGCGACATTAGGTAACTATGGGACAATTTGGTGTCGCCACCCGTAAACTCGAGCTGGCTGTAACTCTTTGGTTACATTGCTCCGGCTCGGTATTGGGTTAGGACATATATAGTAATGTCTAAAACTGTTATATCTAATTATAGATGTTATGTAATATTATTACATATTTACAATTTTTTGAAGGGGT